GGGTCACATTTAGGATCAAGCAGCTCACCCCTAAAGTACCCAACAATGAAACTTTGGCAGGCAAGAGGCATAATTCTCCACGGACATGCAGGCGGCAAAGTTTTATAACTTGCAGACGAGCGGTCGCCACTTTGTGTTTTTGTGCTTTAATCTTGGTCAGGTTCAGCACTGCATGACCACATGAGCAGAAATAAGCATTTGCAGTCACATTCAGGCACAGAATGGCTGCGGAAGGCTTTTTCAAAGGCTTGCAATTCTGAGCTGCATTACCGGCCAAGTATTGGCTAAAGCTGGAGTGCAGTATGTAGTACAACTGACTGCTATTCTGCTGTGGTGTTTGGCAAATTTGATGGACAAATGGCATACCTGATAATTACCTCTATATACAGAGGTGGAAGTGCCTGGGGAAGCAATGTTGTTACTGGGGTCGCTGAAGCAGCAATCCCAGCGCTGGATCTGACTGGTGAGGTGAGGGTTATCCGTCACTGCAACCATCGACCTTGGTGGCGAATCAAGGTGAAGGCTCTTCGGACACAGAGCTGCTTGTGGTTTCACGTCCGGAGCCGCCCATTTCGAAGGACATCATATAACACAAGGACTTTCCGATTTCCCCTCCATCACGATGTGACCAGGCTATGCAGCTGCGGCCAAGGTGCTGAGTGCAACCTCAGCAAATGTTCCAATTCATGGCAATTGTGAATATTTGTGAGTTTGAAGTTGGGTGCGGGTTGGAGTGTCCTGATTAACTATCATAAGCTTAAGATCTGCCGTAACATGCTTACCCTTGACCTTGCTGACGCCAGCTCTTTCACAGAATGCATGATCAACTGTACCAACTGCAGGAGCTGTCAGCACAGAGATCATGAACAAGGGGGCCAAACTGAGGTATACAGGCATACAGCATACACCCCCCCACCCAAAAAAAGGCTTTCACGCAAACAAGATTTTGGTATGTTTTGGTGAAATGTGGTTTCTAAGTGGGTGATAGGTGGATGGAGAACCTCTTGCCCCCTTTGAGATACACGCACGAACAACTCTATGTCGGTGGTGCAGGACTTTTTTTTGCTACTAGGAACAAGTGCATCGCTTCTAGTATCAAGTGCCTTACTAGTAGTAACAATGTTCGCTACTAGGAACAAGTGCATCGCTTCTAGTAACAAGTGCCTTGCTAGTAATTAGTAACAATGTTCGCTACTAGGAACAAGTGCATCGCTTCTAGTAACAAGTGCCTTACTAGTAGGAGCAATGTTTGCTACTAGGAACAAGTGCATCGCTTCTAGTAACAAGTGCCTTACTAGTAGTAACAATGTTTGCTACTAGGAACAAGTGCATCGCTTCTAGTAACAAGTGCCTTACTAGTAGTAACAATGTTTGCTATTAGAAACAAGTGCCTTACTACTAGGAGCAAGAAGCTATTAGGGGCTCCTTAGTCAACTCTATGTCGGTGGTGCAGGACTTTTTTTTCACACTTTTCTCCTGCCTTCCGCCAGACGGATTGGGGCCGTGCGGCCTGGGGTTTTGCTGGCTGGAGTAGCTTCCAGGCTCGCTATGCTATGTCAAAGCAAACATCCCTTTGCCCCATTGGTGCCAGCATCAACACAAACAAGAGCTGGCCAGGGTGAGAGTGGTGAAACAGGGAAGATGAGCTCCTGACTTTTCTTTTGACCTATTCTTGTTTGAGATACAAGCAGACCCATTTCATACGTTTAGACTCTTTACATTATCAATATTTCTCAATCATTCTCATACCTGCCTTCGCTTGTGTGCGATCCTTTCAAGATCATTCAAGCACCTGGTAACTCGCCAGATTGCTTACGTGGTGGCGACTGCACGGTTGGCAGATTTTTCCATTGCAGGGCACCCCATGAGGAAGTATCATGTTGACGAGCATCAACAATCGCCGTGCATGACTATATAGTTATGAATTATGATGTATGTGTGTAGATTGTAATCAGTGTTTGCCTGAAGTCCCTTACTGCGACTCTGCATCAGTCAGTCGAAGGGCAAGGTAAGGCTGTGCAAAATATATGCCAGAACCATCCATGCATCATTTAATATACCCTGGTTGTGCGACGCTTTTTCTGCTCGCCAAGGCTCCGCTCATCATGGCTGCAGTGATCCTGTCTCACTTGGGGCGCAGTTTAGGGTGATCAGGACTCGTTGCACCCGCGGCAGGTGTGCTGCGGCGTGCTGCGCAGTGCAGCAGGCCGTGACCGCTTAAACGGTGGCACCTTCAGGAGCGACCGACACGCAGGATTTGTTTTGATGAGATGACGGCCTCCCGTATTGTCTACGGAGTGTTGATGGCCTCATTTCCTTTTGTACAAATTAGTTTGTCAGAGATTCCGAGTTTAAACCAAATTATATAGTGACGGCATAGTGACGGCAGGTTATTTCTGGAGAGCCTTTGCCTTTAGCAAAAGGTTCAACTTCAAGACAGATTGAAGCAAAGTTACTTTGTGCAAGTTATCATATCAATCCACCAACATGGCTGTCCTTAGTGCAACATTGGTGTTTGAGGACGTTGGGTTTGGCAGTGCTGAGTGCCAGTACCCTCTTTCTCCTGAAGAATGTCATGGATCTAAGCTTCATGGCTCCACTTTGGCATTTTATGCTTGGCGAAGATCACAAGTTGGCTCCTCTTCATCACATTTGGAGGTCGAGTTGTCGTCCAATGGAATTGCAGCTGGTCAACTGTCACCCACAAATCTAAAGAGCGAATCGAACCTCTTTTTCCAGTTTCCAGTCTTCTAGCTCTACTTGTGTCTATTCGTCAACCTTAGCTCAACGTGATAGTCAGGCTTGTAAGACTTTTGAGAAAGTCTCATAGCTAGACGGCACGTCCTGAAGAATCAAGTGGTGAAGCTTGGACCGAATAAGGTGTTTTGGTGCGGCTGTCGGGTGCCGAGAGGCAGAAGTTTGGAAGAACACAATCTTAAGATGACTTACACTCCCTGCAGCATCATGGAAGTGGACAAGAGCCCCTTGGATGACCATTGTCCTCTACAAACAGGTGGTTGTCCATGTTTTTCTGTATGATTCTATGACTATGATCATCCCAGGGAGTGTAAGCCACTTCTCCTTCTCAAAAGCTTCTTTCATGCTTCTGTTGCACAGCTCTGAAAGAATTGTTGCAGCTATGATTCAGATTGTACATTCTTATAGCACGAGGCTGTAGACTGTAGACGGCATTAGTGACGTGGGCCACATGGCCAAGGGCTGCAATATTTGCATCAGAACGAGACTGAGGCTAGGTGAACGGCCTGTGCCGTCAGAATCCAAGTGACTGCAAGTGCCTTTACTACCTTGGGACACTGATTGGTGGTTAATTACGCATTTTCGAGCCAAGGGTACTTGCTTGTTAGGATCTTGTAGGTAATAAGTCAAGGAACTATATACCAGTTGGGCACATGTTTTGCTCTGCACATGGGCAATTCAGTCATTCAATTCACTCCTTGAGGCTAGAGACTGAAGGCTTCCTGCTGGCGCAGGCGAACCTCGCACAAGTTGCATTTTGTTGCTCTTTTTGTTGACCTATATATTTTGCCCACCATGGGTGCTTTTGTTCGACCAATCGTTTCCCAATTCACCGTTTTGTTGTGCACTTGTTGGGACCAAGAAAGCGCTGGGTATTAGGCGCCTTTGGCTGCGATTGCTTGGTATGGCTGCAGAGCGGGATATGGCTTGGTCCCGAGACTGGATTGATTTTCTACGTATCTCGTTCCTTCGTTGGTGGATTCACAATGTGTCGATGAACCTCATTACAAGCTGCCCTGGATATTTGCCACAAGGTCACTGTGTTGTTCTAGCGGTTATCCTGACGGTGCTTTATTTGTTTGAAACCAGTTTCATTGCCAGGAATGTTGCAACAATATGGGCTGCCCAAGTTCAAACTCGATGTGCGGGCTCAAAAGGGCCGCAAGTGGCTGCTCACGTTGTTGGCCGTCATGGACTCGGACTAGAGCGAAAAGGCCAAACTCCTGTGGGCATCACTGATAATGCGAATGGTGGATTATTGTGGTCTTGTTCAGAATTGACAACAACGTTCACTGGTGCTTAGGTAGGCTATGCCGCAACGGCAGTGCATCAGGCGACATGTTCTTTGCGTTTGACTTGTTTTTATTGATTGGCCCTGGCAATTTGTCGCTTGACACAAGCGCACCAGCTGCCATTGATTCTCCCACCAAGCAGGTCGTTTGGGGCAGTGCTTGCCTCTTTGTTGGCCCCTTTACTTTGGGAGCACTGCGGTGCTTCATTGTTGCGGCGTGCGCCCATGTATGCCGGGGAGCCATTTCAGTGGGAGTTCTTTTGGTGTGCTTGCAATCCCAAATCGTCAGCTCGCAATCAGTTGACAGGCCTTTCTAAAGTAAAGCTGTGCCATCCGCACGCATGCAATATTTGAGGTTTGTGACCCGTTTCACGGCAATTCTCAAGAGCAGTTTTATCATGGTTTTACAAATTATATAGCTGGGAAAGACAGCTGATTCTTGGCCCCAAGCCAGTTCTTGAATGAGATCCATGAGCGGAATTTTACACTTTCATATCGGGCTTGTAAATTGCGGGGTGTTGCTGATTGATGTCGAAGGCACGAATGCACAGGAGAAAAGCAAAAATGAATCCTTATTTATTTTCTCAGGAACCATCCAGAACCCTTTCAATATTCTGGCATCCATTTGATGATACCTGCATGAATTCAAAGAGCACATTGCCTGATTTCTAGCAGCACTTATTGGGGCATATGGTGCAGTTTGAGCAAATGCTTGGGCCTATGCCTCCAGCTTGAACTTGGTCTCGTATGCCTGTATGCACACATGCACAGTTGTGCTGCAACACACACTGCGTGGCATTAGAGCATGCAGCATGAGCAAATACTGTAGCAGTTCCAAGATTCCTAGAGTACAAAGATGGAGCTGATGGAGCTTTGTTTTTCTCCGGATTGTCTCATAGTCTATCCACTTCAGGATAACTAACTTGAGACAAAGCCAACACCTAGTACAATGCCTTTGGGAAGCCCGCGGGAGTCCGGTGATGTCCGTCATGCTTCACGCTGCATGCACCGGAGACTCGGTCAATGAGTCGTTTGCAGAGACAATTGAACAAGAAGCGTCCGATCGCTCCTAGTAGCGATGCCAGGAGCCCCTACTATCGTTCTTGTTCCTACCTATATAAGACATTTGAGGACCTAATTGAGGATCCAAGCTATTCGGAGATTCTTCAGCGGGGTGCCAAGGACTGAATGTGGTGGACAGCCCCTATTTCTCTGATGGTGAGGGAACAGGCGAGGTCCATTTCGCTTTGGTGTTTGGAGTGTCGGTCTGGGCTAGGAGCCTGTAGTTGCCAGAAATCACAGACCAAACAACCAAGATTGACATCACTATTGGATAGATTCTTGAAATGCGAAAGTGGGTCCCGTGCACCGAGGTCAAGTCGCTTCCTACTACAAATCAAAGAGCAAAGAATCGGAGCCCCGACGCACGTGGATCTCAGCCTCACGCCGGGCGCCAGCTGCGCCAGCTGCGCCAGTGGCCCTGGCGCCTGTGTCGGGGCGCATTGCCGGCGCGGCGCCAGGCTACTACCGTTATGTCTCAGAGGATCTCGTCGAGGAGGATCAGCAAGTGTCGCTACCTGTCATGAGTCAAGATGGTGGCTCTGAAGAAGAATATCAAGAATATTGGGCATGGAATTCCCTGAACATCCGTTCTCTCAGTGATGGCTGGATTGAAAGAATGGCCCATCCGCAAGTGAATTGTGAGCCATACTGGTACCACGAATCAAGAGGGATTCTTGGCAAGCTGAGAGGCTCAGTACTGTCATGCATGGTGAATCTGAATGCGTACTTTCATTCGGTTTCTTTTGGCTGGCTATTCACGAAAGCTAGCGAAGCTAGCTGGAGTTACTCTTGCGATAGCAAGGTTTCTTTCGACCGGGTGCAAATCCTAACCCCTGATTTTTCAGGTCGAAGACCCCCCCCCCCCTTTCCCCTTTCCCCTCTCCCCTCTCCCCTCTCCCCACCCCACCTCCCCTCTCCTCCTCCTTGTCTTCCTCCCACCTTCCCTCCCTCCTCCCTCTTCGCAAGTTCGACTCCGTCCTGTCGTCGCTCTTTGGCATGCGGTTAGCGTTGCGTATCTTGCGGCCGCACTCGCTCACTCTCACTGTCTCACTGTCTCACTGTCTCACTGTCTCACTGTCTCTCTCTCTCTCTCTCTCATCTCTCTCATCTCTCTCATCTCTCTCATCTCTCTCATCTCTTTCTCATCTCTCTCTTCTCTCTCTCTCTCTCTCCTCTCTGTCTCTCGTCTTTCCGTCTCTCTTCTCTCTCTTCTCTCGCAGGAGGATCCGGGCAAAGAGCCACATATAAAGGACTCTTCACCCCTGCCTCCAAAAAGAGCGCCGTGTTTTTTCCTCCCTCGCTGCCCTCCACTTTCCCATTCTGGAGCGCTAGCTTTCGCCCCCCCCCTGGCCTCAAGTCTATTGACACCTTATGGATTGCTTTTTGGGTAATACTTCTTTGCTTTGTGGCTTTGGGGGCCTGCCAGGCTGAATTTTCAGCCGCTGTGTACTATGTACATTGTACATGAACAGTTGCATTTATGATCATTTGTGTATACGTATGCAGCTGTACGCGGAAGTCATTTAGTTGTGCCTTTTGCTTGTTTTCGTCCGTATCGCTTTTAGTTTGTGTTTCCTTTCCTGGGCTTCCCAGTGGATCAGAAATGCAACCCATGAAATGTTGGGCCCTGCTGCTAGATCAAGATGGTTTGTGCAACAGTTTGGACCAAGGATAACAACCTATCAGTGCCCAGCTACAGGGTCCACTGCGCAAGTGAGACCCGTTGACCTGAGCAGCGATTTTTTTCAGGATGGCCCAGTTTGGAACTACACACCTTTCGAATTGAAATCGATCATGCGGGAAGGTCATGCAGATGACTTTGGTTTTTCAGCGGAGGAGCTGGCACGAAGAGCATGCTACGAGTTTGAGACTCACTTGAGCGTTAAAGTTTTTTGAACAGGGCCCTCCGCACTTGTGTCAAAAGACTTTGGTAGTTAAAGATGGTTAAAGTCTATAGTGCTTTGCAGGATCAAGGTCTATCATATTCAAGAACCTGATTAACACATTCCAATCTTTTGACAGAATCGACCTTTGGAAGCCAAGTTGTTGATCAAATAGAAGGGGTGGGGACGATGAGGTCCTTTTAACTTTTGGTGTTTTGCACATGTTTTAATAGAATGTTTTGGGGCTCGTCGACAATCACCAACACATGTCACCCGAAGGAATCTTGGCTGCCACGAGTGTTGTCGTGGCATGACTATCAGTATCGCTGCTTTTGGTTCTTCGGAGGGAAAGATACCAGCGAGAAGAACAGGGAGTCTAGCGCTTCCAAGAGTTTCTTCAGCTCTGATGCTGAGGCCGCCTGGCCCCAATGCAAACACTATTTTGTATACCCCTCAAATCTCCACATGAACCACTCCTTGCGAATTGAGCCAAGTCTTGTGGAAAGTATATAGTCGTTTTGAACAGTGCCCCAACACTATCCAACACTCACTTTCACTATGAATGGGTTTCTATGGAATAATGTCAGTGAGGCATGCCAGTGAGGCATTAGTACATTGAGGGACGAGACTCGACGGTCGGTCTTTGATTGATAGCAGGCATACGCCAAACTCAACAGTGGCTTGAGGCCAGCCGTCAGCTGTTCGCAGATGACGAGTTCTTTGAAGCATGTACACGGCTGTTGTGCACACGACTGGAGCGGATGCATCCCATCAATCTCACGTACTTTGTTTGGACCTATGCGCGGGCAGGACTCCGGACGAGCGGCCTGACAGTGTGTTGCAATGATGGAGGGTTATATACTGCAATGCGTGAAACTCATGCAGGGCATGTGTACTGTCAGTATATTTTTGCTTTCCCTTCTACCTCTCTCTTTGCCCTTTTCTCCAAAATATGATCATAATATATAGCTGATTGTGTACGTACGTGCTACGCGCATTCAGGGCTTGCATGAGGCTGCTTCTTGAATCAATCAGGAGGCGTCGGGAACAGGCATTGCCCATATAAGCAGCGTCAAAAACCTCCCACGAACAGTTTAAGTAAACTTGTAAACTCAGTCCAATTTGCCGCGGAGCCAAAACTGCGGTCGTATATATGGTAAAATTCATCATCGCCCAAGCTTTGCGGAAGTTCATATGTGATCTTCTTGACAAATAATATACGCCTCTATACTTTAAGGATTTTTAAGGAGATTTGTCTAACCTATGAGCACTTTTGAGAAATACGTCGCGGAAGCGGCGCGGAAGAGGATTTCAACCAAACATGGCCCGCGGAAGCCAAAACGCAGGTCGCGGAAGCTCCGCGCAAGCATTGGCGGAAGCAAGTCATGAGTATAACAGATCGTAGACCGGTTTTTGACACTGCTCATATGGGCATGCGTTCTGTTCCTGAGCCGATTTAGTCGTCGTGTCATGCGTTGAAATGTCCCGACTGGTTGTACAATGTGATGTGCGCGACCAGAGGAGTGTATCATGAAGAACTGCTCAATGCAGTTGCAGATCATTTCTGCAAGGGCTGGATTCCAACTATGGACCGCTGCTCTTTAGGTGGGTCAGAAGTTCTGAAGGGGTGGCCATTTTGCCGCAACATTTTCCCCCATGCCCCCATGCCGCACCTCCGTGATTGTCACTGAAGGGACGTGCATGTTCAGTTCGACAGGATTCCCCATGTCAGGCACAATGGTGTGGAATTTTTCCAAGCTGGAATTTCGTCATGACCAATACTTCGAGCTTTCCGCACAGGACTGATGGGAAGGGATCAGGAAAAACAGTGGGTGTGATTCAAGGTGTGGTAGTCAACTCGGGGCAGAATTGATTTGGCGATGCCTGCGCTCCAAGTGCAGTCTGAAGGCTGATGCAGTATCGCTAAAGTTTTGTACTAGCCGCGACCCTGCTCAAGGAAATTGTTGTACCCCCATCATGGGTAGTAATTCCCAAGTCAAGAAAAAGGAGCTTCGTGACCCCAGAGCAACAAATGCATGCCAACAGGAGCTCTACCGCCCGAATCGTCTCCGATCCTTGGCACCTCGCAATTTTCAAAACAGTATGATCCTTGGCGGGAACGAGGCTCACATGTTTTCAGGCAGGTTAGCCAGCCTAATATATAAACAACTATTATGTATAATGACTCTAAAGTAGTGTTTACGATGTGTCATTCCCTGTTTGTTCTTGCTAAGGATTGCTTTCAGCAAGCGTAAGCACTGGAATGCCAAATTACTGGAAGCCTTTTGTCGGGGCATCCCACGTTTGCTGGACAATCACGATCCGAAGTTCCCAAAGACCAACACAGAAGTCCTTTTCTCTTACACTTGCCGGGATGGAAGCAACTCGATTTGCAGCAGGATGTTTGTCGGTTGTGAACCTCTTGGGGGATTGTTAGTGCATGGGTTGTGGCCGAATCTGAGCATTTTGCATTGAAAGATGAATCGAAAGACCGGAAGGTCAAAGAAGCGTTCCATCTTGACAGGTGAGGTGCCTGCGGACGCCTTCCGCATTGGCTCGCTGACGGTCATCACCAAAGCCTTTCACGAGCTCCGGGCTCGAGGTCCAGCAGTGGAAGAATGCATGCACTTTGCCGCACAGAGTTTAAGCACGTCAAAACAGGTTTACACAATTGACGTGCGAACTTGTGCAGGCAAGGATGCTTTTTCATGAGGTTCTTTGGGTCAAAGCGCAGAACAGGCACGCAGCCACCATAAGAAGATGCCATTGTGCCATACAGTACCTTTATCATCCCATACCCATACATAATATATATATATAGACATAGATAGATAGATATAGATAATCCCCTATCCTCAGTATATCGGGTTGCAGGCGGCAATGACTTTGAAGCACATGCTGGGATATGCTATGACAGTTGCCACCTAATAGGACTATTTGTGCACCATCATTAGGATGACGGAAGGTTGAGAGGTGGTCAGCTGTTGAGAGCCCAAGAGTATAAGCAAAAAAGTGGGGAGATAGAGATCGAGGTGCACCCTGATTCCATACATTGCTGAGGAAGTCCATGCTTGAGTATGTGCGCCGCAGTGTGGAGCGATCGCCTCCCATGATGCGAGAACCTGGGGATGCTTCCAACTTTCTTCGGCAGCTAGGAGGGGTTCAGACCCAATGTCGTGGGGGCATTGCTATGATGGTGTTTTTTGTTCAGCTGCAGTTGTGTACCAAAATGGGCCGACAATGTAAGATGCTTTTTTGGGTTCACGTTTGGTTTGTTTGCCAGGCTTCTATGCCGGAGAAAGTGGCATGGACTCTTGGCGAGAACAAAGCCAGCTAAGCCAAGGGACGCAGGGTCACTTTTCCGAGCACACAGAATCACAGATTTGATGAACTGTCCAATGCCTTCACAATAGCTCCAATATTCATTGGAGACTGCTCCAATTTCGCATGTTGGCACTTTCTCCAGCAAGAATGCAGGGGGAAGAATGGTGAACTACAGTCGAATATGTAATCACATGTGGTACAGTGCACGTGTTGTTGTGACGGTAGATGATGTTGTATCGATGCGCCCTGTGGCTCCTTAAGCTAATGGCTTGAAATTAAACAGAGTAAGAAGATCAAAGCGATTTCCGTGCAACGCCGTGCCAAGCTCTGAGCCTTTTCACGCCCGTCTTCCGCTCCTCTGGGGCCACGGATCAGCTGAGATCAAAACGAAAGACACCACGCGACATTTGCTGTGAAACGATGGGGTCGTAAAACAGAGATACTTTGCTGAGCCAGCTTCGCAATGTGCCTGTACGGGTATCTGCCATGTCCTGCCTGAGATTCATAGCAGTCTTGGTCATGTTCAATTCATGACATTCTGCTTAATGTTGGATCCTGATTAGTAAAGGGGGTCCCCCCCCCCCTCAAACAAATAGGGGTCCCTCTATAATAAATTACCACCAAAACAAATCTGGATTCCTGGTGAGGGATCTTTTGTAATTGATTGTAGTATTCATTATCCTTTTGCTTTGCAGCCTCAGATCTTCAGCTCAAGAGAAGCCCCAAGCTTTCAGCTTCTTCCTCAGCTTCCATGGCTTCCTAAGTAAAGGAAGATTCCATGAGCAATTTTTCCAGTGGAAAAAA